TAGGATACAAGAGGCAAAATTTCAAGCCAGCCCAGAGGCGCACACCTGTAATCCCAGTGGCTTGGGAGGCTGAGGCAGGAGGATGGCGGGTTCCAAGCCAGCCTCAGGAAAAGTGAGGTGCTAAGCAACTCAATGAGACCCTGTCTCTTAATAAAATGCAAAATACGGCTAGAGATGTGGCTCAGTGGTTGAGTGCCCCCAAGTTCAATGCCCAGTACCAAAAAAAGAAAAGGCAAAATTTCAGAATTTATGCTGAAACAGGAATGACAACATGTACAGCAATAAACACAATTTATATGCAAAATACAAATCTCAGGGCTGAGAGTGTGGCTCAGATAGAGCACGTGTTTGGCATGCCTGGGGTAACATCCCCAGCACCAGACAAACAAACAAACCCATATCTAATTCATAGGTGCATCCACAAGTATGCAAATATGCAGAGAAGGTTCTAGAAATTCACGTATTAAGCTGTGACCTCAGGAGAGGGCAAGTAGGGAGATTCCCATGTTGAAACATTTCTGCATCACTTGAGTTGCTCACATTCCCTGGGTACTTGCACAATAAGTTACCACCATGGGGCTGGGGTGTGGCTCCATGGTAGAGCACTTGCCTAGTAAGCGAAGCCCAAGTTGCATCCCCAGGCCAGCAAAAAACAAAACAGAAACTATGAAACAAAGACCCCCGAGATCTTCCCACCTCCAGCCAGCCCTCCATGCACACTCCAGCCTCTGGTGCCCAAAGAACCTCCCCTATAGCCCCTCCCCAAGGCCTGGGTCCCCCGCACCTGCAGGGAGCTTGCCACCCCGAAGCTCGCTGAAGTGCTGCACTGTCCTGGCAGGAGGAGAAGAGCTGCTCCAGATGCCCCACGGCTTCTGGGTCACCCTTCACTTGCCCACACAGAAGTCCCGGAAGATGATGTCCAGGACCTCCTCTGTGCCCCCTCCCCCTGTGAGGTGGGACAAGTGCCTCCGGGCAACACGCAGAGCCTCAGCCGCCAGGGCCAGGTCTCGAGTCTGGGTGTAGTGGCCAAGGGCGTCCAGGCAGCCCTGGAGGTGATGCCGGTGTCTGGCGCGAGTCAGGAGTGGCGGGCCTGTGGATGGGTCCCCACACCTGCCAGAGACAAGACATGATGTGGTCCCTCCCAACCTTGCAACCACATTTTTATGGGGGAAAGGCTGTTCCCATTTTGCAGATACAGAAACTAAGGCTGAGGGGCAGGGACGTGGCCAGAGCCAGTGGCTCAGCTTCTACTTGAACGTGGGTCAGGGGAGGCTGGAGCTGGGCCAGGGGACTCACACTGCAGCCAGTTCCTTCTTCAGGGCCTCCAGGAGGCCGCCCAGCCCCTCTCTGGTCAAGCAAGACAGCAGCAGGTGGCGGGGCAGGTCAAGACTGGGGCCCAGGCCCTCAGGGGGCAGCAGGTCAGATTTGTTCAGCACCAGCAGGAGGCGCTGGCTCTGGGCTCCTAGCAGGTCTACAACTGTGTCCAGGAAATTGCAGCTGGAGGGAGAGGCCAGGTCAGAGGCATCCAGCACTGCCAAAATGAGGTCAGCTTGCCCCAACCTGGAGGAGCAGAGAGAAGCAGGGGTGAGTGACCCCAGAATACAGCAATTAATGCAGTAGGCGGAGCAGAGTGGCGGAGGGGGCGGAGTGGAGGAGGTGAGACAACACGGTGGGGGCACAGTGTGGCAGGCAGGGGAGCTGGCCAGCAAGAACAGCATTTAATTAGAACCCAATCACTGAGGCCCCTACTTGAAGAAGCTTAGCAGCCTTTACTGAATGAGGAAAAATAAAAATAAATGCAACAGAGAGAAAAGGCAGAGGAAGGGACCCACACCCCTCCCACAACCCTGCCATCCCACCTCTCCCGGGCCCGGCGCACGCCCTCCTGCTCCACGGGCCCCACGCCCTCCCGCAATCCCGCGGTGTCACTCAGCAACGCAGGGAACCCAGCCAGGTCCACAGGGATCTCCAGCACATCACGGGTAGTCCCTGGCTCTGGGGACACGATGGACACAGGCTTCTGGCCTAGAGGGAGGCAGTCAGAAGAAGTGGGTGGGGGAGAGGCCAGAGAGTTCCTCCTCTAGGCCCCACCCCTCGGCTGGGCGGAGCTTTTCTAATACCTTCCACAGACTCAATTTCCTACCTGCTGGCCCCACCCCTGGCACTAAGCCAACACCCCACTCAGGCCACATCCCCATCCCCCTTCACTTACTGAGGAGGTTCACCAAGCTGCTTTTGCCGGCATTGGGGGGTCCAGTGACCACGACGTGTGCCCCTGAGCGGAGCCGCTGCCCACGCCTGGCATCTCGTAGATGCGCGTCCAGTGCCACCACCAGCCCCTGCACTTCACTGTCCGCTGTGGACAGGGGAAAGCAGGCAGAGGGGTGCGGGTGAGGAGGGCCTCTGGAAGGTGAGGATGCCAGCCGTCTCCACCTTCGACCCCCATGTGGGCCCACCTTGCTCCAGGACACCATCCTCCAGGTTGTCATCCTCCCCAAAGTCGATGTAGGCCTCCACATGGGCCAGAGCCTAGGCAGCAGGAGGAAGGCAGGTGATGTGAGCACCCAGGAACCCGCCATTCCACGCGGACTACCCAAGTGTAGCAGGATCTAAGGGGCAGGATTGGCCTATAGGTAGGATGCTTTCATGCGGGGAATGAATGCATGGGGTGCACTCATGCAGGGGATGAAGAGGTGGGGTCTTGGAGGCAGGGATCAGCAAACAGGGCACTTGCCTTGGTGAGGGTCTCCGCCCAGCTGCGGCAGAGTTGGCCCAGCTCGCCGTCCAGCTGCCTCAAGGCCTGGCGACGCTGCGCTTCAGTTTCCGCGTGGATCAGATCGGCCAGCCCCTCCACCTCTGTGAGGTTCAGCTTCCCATGGGCGAACGCCCGCCTGGTGAATTCTCCAGCCTCAGCTGGCCGTAACCCTGGCACACTGCCTGTGAGGAGGCCCCAGGTCCTTGAACCCGCTGGTCCCCCAGGCCCATGGGCAGAGCCAGGCTGCGAACCTGAGACTGTGACTCACCCAGAGCCTGTAAGACTCCACTCACCACAGCCGGGCCTCCATGCACGTGGAACTCCACACAGTCCTCACCCGTGAAACTTTGGGGACCTCGTGGGCAAAGAGATGAGATTCAGGTAGAAGGCACAGCCTGAACAAACTCCAGGAGGGGGAAAACTGGGCCATGGGTTCGAGTTCTGGGGTCCCTCACCAGGGAACCAGAGCACCAGTGCGCGATCCAGCGGTTCTCCGGTGTGCGGGTCGCTGAGCAGACGTAGGCTGGCGCTGCGTGCCGGGGGCAGGTCCCGGGGCGCCGTGAGGCTCCGGAGAGCGTGGCTGCTGGCGGGGCCGCTGGCTCGGATCACTGCTATGCCGCAGCGGCCTTGGCCTGAGCTTAGCGCGAAGATGGTGGCCCCAGAACCGAAGGCCGGGGCACGGCTGCTCTGGCTTGTGCACAGTCTGGGACAGGAGAGGAGGAAAGTCAGCACAGCTTGGCGGCTCTGTCTTAAGGTGGAGATGGGTCGAAGACTGGATGGTCAGGAGTAGCTCCAGGTGGCGGGGGGACGTACAGATTGGAGACTCTGAAGCCATAAAGTGACTGAGAGCAAAAGGTGACCCTGACGTGGGGTCTGCGGCAAAGGGACGGGCAGACTGGAGCTTGGAAGAACTTGGTGCCTCTGTGGTAGGACACTGGGCCCTTGGAACCTAAGGAGCGGGTTTGGGGCCCTTGAAGCACCTCTCGCTGTCCCACCCCTTCGGCGGGGTCCCCCCACCTGCGAGACCCACGGGCCGCCCGGGCCACCAAGGTCCACAGCTCCCGCCACATGGAGCTACAACTTGCGACCCGCCTGTCGGACCTTTCAGAGCCGCTTCAAGTCCCGGCAGGACGCCCCGCCTACTCCACGGCGTAACTGGGAACGTTCTACGTCCTCGACTACCATTGGGCCACTGCGGAGGAGCCCCGCCCACCGGCTGAAGACCTTCATTCCCGTGGGCTGGTGCTAGAAAGGAGGGCGGGGGCTCCAGGACTTGAGTGCCCCGCAATGATGTTCCCCCGGCAACAAAAGACCGAATTTTTAGGGTCCTAACGCGGCAGGGATCTGAGACAATGGAAACGAGTAGGAGAGAGGACAGGGCTTGGCCGGGACGGTGGGAATTACGGCGAGGATTCGAGTCCCGTACTTTCCGCTTGAGCACTCTGTAGCCTTAAGCGAGGCAAGCGTACCCTGTACTGCTGTCCAAAAAGCGGGTTACACCTCTCTGCGCCCAGGAAGGGACCGGAAGCTCAGAGCATCTCAGTGAATGCGAGGGATGAGTTCCGGGGGACACACCCTCTGGCCCAGGGAAAACCTTGCCCAAACTTCTGCTGCTTGGTTTTCTCGGGACCCTCCAGCTTCTCCCCGCTCCCCAACCCTCTGCTGGCTCTCTCGAGGCCTCTGGTGCCTTTCCTGGTTTCACAAACTCATCCTCCAGGCCTAGCTCAGAGTTCCCTCCTCCAGGAAACCTTCCTGGAAGCCCTCTGCCCCTCACTGGGCTTCTTGGCCCTCTCTGGCTCAGGTCTTCCGAGAGTCCAGTCTGTCTCGGGCTCCCCGAAAGCCAGGAAACCGAGCCTTGGAAATTACTTTCAGGTTAACCCAGGACAGCGCTGAACAGCAGAATAAATCGCTGATGGTGGAATTCCAGGCGCTGAGTGGGCGGGGTCTCGGGAGCGCCTTCGCACGGCCAATTCTCTGGTTCTCGATCAAAGCGGACGGGCGGCTCATCTGCAATTCGGGAAAAATCTGGCAGGTTAGAGTTGTAATTCTCTCCTGTCCCGCCCTGCTCAACTTTTTCACTTAAAATAGGAATAAACGATGACACTCTCCGTCTCTGGTGATTCCGTCTGTAACAAGTATACATCAAATGCCTGTGTGTGCCAGGCATTGAGAACCACATTGGGCTCCTGCCTTCCCCGGGTTCTCGCCCAGATGGAGCGGGCTCTTCAGGATGGTCAAGGATCGCGAAACAAGACAAAAGAGGCGATGCCTAGGGCCCGAGCCGCCCGCTTGCCTAGTCTGCACGAGGCTCTGGATTTCATCCCCAGCATCGACGGGGTTAGAGAAAACAGGACAGCCAACTAAATGTGAATTTTGAATAAACAACGAACACTGTTTTAGTATAACTGTATCCTATGTAACGTTTAAGGTGTAACTAAATATTTCTTCGTTTATCTGAAATGTAAACTTAAGAGCACTACTTTTATTTGCTATTACTAATGGATCCCCCCAAAGGAGCTTACATTCTGAAGGGAGTAAGGATTAACCAGAAGAGAACGCGATGGGTGTCCTCCGCAGCTAAACAGCACGTGCAAACACCCTGAGGCAGAACCTGCTGTAATTATTTATTCGCCACCCTGCTAGGTGGTTATTGTTCTCAGGAATCTTCCCTGACCAGGCCGCCCACTCCCACGTCCTGCCACGGTCAAATCACGCCCATCTAAGATTTCAAGTCGGGTCTGTGAATTCTGTGGCTTGCAGATGGGCAAACAGGCTCCAAGGCGGAAACGAAGGTGGGGAGGTAGGGACACTTTGGAAAAATGCACCCTCGGTGCGGGCGGGCACGAGCACCAGAAGTCAAAGTGGGCGGGCGAGAATAAAACTCGGAAAACAACACGGGCGGCTACAAGAACCAGAGAGCCAGGCAGGCGGGCAGGATTGAGAACTGGAGAGTGACGCGCGGCGGGCGGGGAAAGAGAATCCAGGTTCGGCTCGGGCGGCGACGAGAAGCTGCGCTCGGGCGCGCGAGGACGGCGACCGGCGCGGGCGGGCGCGGCCTTTGTCTCCTCCTCCCGCGCGCTCGGCGGCGGCACTGGCCCCATGAGTCCGCGGCCCCCCGGCGCCCGAGCCGCCCGCAGCCCCTAACCTGACCTGTCCTCGCCATGGCCGAGACTGCCTCGGGCGCCGGGGGCACGTCCCTGGAGGGAGAGCGCGGCAAGAGGCCCCCGCCGGAGGGCGAGCCCGCAGCCCCTGCGTCTGGAGTTCTGGGTATGTGTGCGGCGGCTGGAGCGGACTGGGTTGCAGGTGCCTGGGGTGCGCGCGGCGGCTGGGCAGGGAGGAAGATTGGGGTCAAATGTCCCGGGCCTGGTGTCTGGCGGAGGGGCCCGCTCCTCCCAGCACTGCGGCTGCGGCCCGGCGGGCGGGGCTGGGGCTGTGCAGCGGGCGGGGGTCCCAGCGCAAAAACGCGGACACGCCCCTCCAAAGAGCCCAGGCCTGGGGCTGAGCCTTGCCACCCCTGGGCTGAGGGATCACCGCCAGGCTGGAATGCGCTAGCCTCTCCGTGGAGAATACAGAATCACATGGTTCTGGGTTCGAATCCCAGCTCAGCTGTGTGACCTTGGGTGCGTGACTTAAACACACTGGGCCTCAGTTTCCTCACCTGTGAAATGGGGGTAAGAACCGCGCCCAACTCATGGGGCTGCTGTGAGGACGCGCTGTCATAATGTGGTGAAGCGCTCAGGGCTGCTAGTGGGCGCCCCATCGATTGTGGTTCGGTAGGCGGAGCTGGGCCTCAAGAATGAGTAAGATTTGTAAGGGAGGACCTGGGGGAAGGGCATTCCTGGAGAAGGGCCTGGCTGGTGCAAGGACATGGAGAGAGGAAAACGAACCGAGCTTTGAAAGTCAGACTGAGTGCTGGAGAGCTCGACTTGAGGCCAAGTCTGGGTCCAGGTGTGACCTCACCCAGACCTGCCACACCGCTCCCCCCAGATAAGCTTTTCGGGAAGCGGCTCCTGCAGGCGGGTCGCTACCTGGTGTCCCACAAGGCGTGGATGAAGACCGTTCCCACGGAGAACTGTGATGTGCTGATGACCTTTCCAGGTACCCACTCCCGCTGCCTCTGCCCAAAGGCAGCTCTCCTGAGCTCAGCTTCCCACAGTGGGAATATGTAGGTGGTCTTGGGGTCCCCTCTTGGCAAGAGCCATCGGTCCCTGTGCCCCCTGGCAGACACCACTGATGACCACACGCTGCTATGGCTGCTGAACCACATCCGCGTGGGCATCCCTGAGCTCATCGTGCAAGTCCGCCACCACCGCCACACGCGTGCCTACGCCTTCTTCGTCACAGCCACATATGAGAGGCGAGTCCCCTGCCTCTGGCCTCTTGCTGACCCTGCCATCCAGCCCCCTGCCCTTCCAAGAGCCAACCATGCTATCCAGCCACCCTGCATTTGTACCAAGAAGCCGCCAGGTGTGTGTCCTTAGATCCAGGATGGTGGGCCGGGGCCTCTCAGTGAGCCCATCTCCTCTGCCCTCCTGCAGCCTACTCCGAGGGGCCGACGAGCTGGGTCTGCGCAAGGCTGTGAAGGCCGAGTTCGGCGGGGGCACCCGTGGCTTCTCCTGCGAAGAAGACTTCATCTATGAGAATGTGGAAAGTGAGCTACGCTTCTTCACATCCCAGGTCAGGCCCGTCCCACGTGGGTGGCCCAGCCTTGGGGTGCTGCTCAGAGAGTTCACAACCTCTTCCCAACAGGAACGCCAGAGCATCATCCGCTTCTGGCTGCAGAACCTGCGTGCCAAGCAGGGAGAGGCGTTGCACAACGTGCGGTTCCTGGAGGACCAGCCAATCAGTGAGCGAGGCGGGGCCAAGACTACAACACAGCCTAGAGCTGGGCAGGGCTCTCAGAGGACAATCCTGGGGGGTAGAAGGATGGGGTCTGTTTCCATCCAGTCAGGGGTTAGTAAAGGGTTGGCAGCCAATGAGCTTAAGGGGCATGGTCCCAGTTACCTGGATCAGGGCCCTCAATGAGTTGAAGGGGCGTGGCCTTTGTGAAGGGGTCGGGCTTATCCCCTAGGAGGCACGTCCAGGCTGCGCCCTTTTCTGGAATAAGGGAGGGGCAGGACCATGGACAGCGCTCCGTGTACTCTGGCCTTGGTTTCTCTAGGAAAGGTGCCGACACAAATTCATTCACCCTCTGATGCCAGCTTATGCCATTTCTTAGGGTCACAAACTAAAGCCAAATGGCTTTACTTAAAAACATGGTTCCCTATGGGGGCTGTAACCTTCCCTGTCTGCCCCTGCATCTCCCAGATTCCGAGGGGGAAGCGGATATTCCGTCCATCCAGAACTTCTTCCCTGGGAAGAGCAAGCCAAAGGCTGTGACTGTGCTGCCAGCCAAGGAGGCCAGTCGTCCGGCTGGGAGCATGGTTGAGTAGCTGGGGTCACTTGTGCTCCTCTCCCCACAGTCCCGGAGCTGGCGGCCCGCGGGATCATCCAGCAGGTGTTCCCGGTCCATGAACAGCGCATCCTGAACCGCCTCATGAAGTCCTGGGTGCAGGCTGTGTGTGAAAACCAGCCTTTAGGTGAGTCCCGGGCTGGGGGGGGACAGGGGTCCCGGGAGGCAGGTGGAGGTGACTGGGACTCCCCCTCGCCTGGCAGATGACATCTGTGACTACTTTGGTGTGAAGATTGCCATGTACTTTGCCTGGCTGGGCTTCTACACGTCAGCAATGGTGTACCCTGCTGTCTTTGGCTCTGTCCTGTACACGTTCACGGAGGCTGATCAGGTATCAGACCAGGGCTGGGTAGAGCTGGGGGTCCCAACACACTCCCCTTCCTGGGCTAGCTCGCCCGATGGCTTGGCTCTCCTCTGCCACCCACAGACAAGCCGGGATGTGTCCTGCGTGGTCTTTGCGCTCTTCAACGTGATCTGGTCAACACTGTTCTTAGAGGAGTGGAAACGGAGGGGGGCAGAGCTGGCCTACAAGTGGGGAACACTGGATTCACCTGGGGAAGCTGTGGAGGAGCCACGTCCCCAGTTCAGGGTCAGTCCAAGGTTGGGTCGAGGAATTCAGAGAACCAGGTAAAAGCGAGCGCATGGCATGGTGGAGACGCCGCAGGAACAAGCGCAGCGGTGGCCTGGGCTGCGCAAGAGGCAGCATGTTGGGGGGAGCGTGCTCCTGGGGGGAGGTGTGGAAATTGGATTTGAGGAACTAGAAAAGGTGCACGAGGCGGGTGTACCCCAAGAACAAAGGTGTCGTGGAGGGAAACTGAGTTTGGAGAATCAGATAGGGCAGAGGTGACCCCTGCAGTCTCACGCTGGGCTGGCCCCCTCCCCCAGGGCGTGCGCCGCATCAGCCCCGTGACCCGCGCTGAGGAGTTCTACTACCCGCCGTGGAAGCGGCTGCTCTTCCAGCTGCTCGTGAGCCTGCCGCTGTGCTTGGCCTGCCTGGCCTGCGTCTTCTTGCTCATGCTGGGATGCTTCCAGCTGCAGGTGACCTGAGCCCCTCTCCCTGGCCTTAGCCGGACCCGCTCACCACTCGCCCAGCCCTGCCCGAGCCACCCCGAGCCCTGTCACCAACCTCCTGGTCCCGCAGGAGCTGGTGCTGAGCGTGAAGGGGCTTCCCCGTCTCGCCCGCTTCCTGCCCAAGGTCGTGCTGGCCCTGCTGGTCAGCGTGAGCGCTGAGGGCTACAAGAAGCTGGCCATCTGGCTCAACGACATGGGTATGCTCTGCCAGGGGCGTCCCGCTGGGGTCCCACCTGTCTTGGGTGGCCAGGGTGGCCCCTCACACTCCTCCTCGGCCCCTAGAGAACTACCGGCTGGAGAGCGCCTACGAGAAGCACCTCATCATCAAGGTCGTCCTGGTGAGTGGCCTCCAAGGAAGACCGCAGGGGACGACAGAGAGGCTGGGGGCAGGGGGCGTGAGGAACTGCGAGTGACACTGCCGCCTGCTCCCTGCAGTTCCAGTTTGTCAACTCGTACCTGAGCCTCTTCTACATCGGCTTCTACCTCAAGGACATGGAGCGCCTCAAAGAGGTGAGCCTCTGGCTCCCGCGGCAGCCCGGGGGGCCGGACCTGGCACACGGGGTCCACGGGCTCTCCAGCCGCTCCCCCCCCCTCCATCCTTCTCTCCTCTTTGTTCGTCCGTCCGTCTGTCCTCTCTCTGCCTGTCACCCCCCCATCTGTCTGTCCATCTGTCCGTCGGTCCCTCCACAGCTCCTGCTCGTCCTGTCCCTGTCCCAGAGCCTTGAGCGGCAGCTGCGGGCGGTGCTGGTCCCGCTCGTGGCCCTGCGGTTCCGCCTGCTCCTCCTCTCCCTCCGGGGCCTTCTGCTCTCGGCCCGGGCCAAAGTACGGGCAGGTGGCGAGCCCCCGCCAGGGTGGGCAGCATGGCCGTGCTGGGGACCGGGCACGCCAGGCTGAGGGCGCATGCTCAGAGGGGCCTGGGGCTCTGGTGGCCTAGCACAGGCAGGTGGCCCGGGCACCTTCGGGGTGGCGGTGCCCCGTGCCTGCCCTGTGGGCTGGCTACGTGCGCTGTGGCGAGCTGGGCTGTGGCAGGTGAATGGTGGCTGGGTGCTGGGGGCCTCTGTGTCCAGGGACATCCAGAGGGGCAGAGTTAAGAACTGGGCTCCGTGTGTGCATCTGGGCACTTGCTCCCGGAAGGTGCTCTGGAGGGTGGGTGCCCTGTTCTGGTGCCCGGGCCTCCCGCCTGTCCCCCATGCAGCCTCTCTCCACTCCCCTCCCGCCCCCAGATGCTGGCCACGCTGCTCATCACCCGCCAGTTCCTCCAGAATGTGCGTGAGGTCCTGCAGCCACACCTGTACCGTAGGCTGGGTCGTGGCCAGCTCGGTCTGCGGGCCATCTGGGAGCTGGCCCGAGCCCTGCTCGGCCTGTTGAGCCTCAGGCGCCCTGTGCCTCACCGCCTCGAAGCCCAGGCCGACGAGGGCAGTGGCGGCGGCAGTGGGGGGGGCCGCAGGTGTCTCAGTGGGGGCTGCGGGGCACCTGAGGAAGAGGAAGAGGCCACAGTGGAGCGGAGACCAGCCGGGGAAGGTGGGGAGGTCAGGGACGGGCCCCGGGGGGGCAAGGAGGAGGCAGAAGAGGAGGAGGAAGAGGAGGAAGAAGAGGAGGAGGACGATGACGAGGGCGAGGAAGGTGGCCTTCTGGACTGTGGGCTCCGCCTGAAGAAGGTCAGCTTTGCTGAGCGCGGGGCGGGGCGGCGCCGGCCTGGCCCAAACCCAGAGGCCCTCTTGGAGGAGGGAAGCCCCACCATGGTGGAGAAGGGGCTGGAGCCGGGCGTGTTCACACTGGCCGAGGAGGACGACGAGCCTGAGGGTCCTCCTGGAAGCCCTGAGCGAGAGCCCCCAACCATCCTGCTCCGTCGGGCTGGGGGCGAGGGCCGAGACCAAGGGCCTGATGGAGGCCCAGACCCAGAGCCTGGCTCTGGGGACTCAGCCGGGAGGCAGAAGAGGCAGAACCGGTCATCTTGGATCGACCCCCCTGAGGAGGAGCCCTCGGCCCAGTTGACCCAGGCAGAGCTGGAGAGCTGCATGAGGAAGTACGAGGTAGGCCGCGGGCAGGGCTGGAGGCCATCGGGCAGTGGGGCCCTTGATGGCTGGGAGCTGCAGAACGGGAGCCCAGGACGAATGTCCAGCTGGGTGGGCGAGGCCTCTCGCCCCGTCTGAGGCCAAAGATGGAGAGAGACCCTGCTCCACGAGGGGGAATCCGAGGGAGGGGGCTGGCGGAGGAAGGTGGCCTGAGAGCGCCCGCCCTCGCCCGCAGGACACCTTCCAGGACTACCAGGAGATGTTCGTGCAGTTCGGATACGTCGTGCTCTTCTCGTCCGCCTTCCCGCTGGCCGCGCTCTGCGCCCTGGTCAACAACCTCATCGAGATCCGCAGTGACGCCTTCAAACTGTGCACGGGCCTGCAGCGGCCCTTCGGCCAGCGCGTCGAGAGCATCGGCCAGTGGCAGGTGGGGCGGGGGCAGACCAAGGGCTCCTAGCTGAAGGTCCAGGGGAAACTTGGGTCCAGCCGGGAGGAGCGGGGGTCTGGAGAGGCCGCTGGACCTCCTCTGAGATCCCCGCCCCCCTGCAGAAGGTCATGGAGGCCATGGGCGTGCTGGCGATCGTGGTGAACTGCTACCTCATCGGCCAGTGCGGGCAGCTGCAGCGCCTCTTCCCTTGGCTGAGCCCGGAAGCAGCCATTGTGTCCGTGGTGGTGCTCGAGGTGGGGGCTGGCGACCTGGTGGGGGAGCCGGGCGGCAGGCAGGAGGGCGTCCCCGGAGCCTGTAGCCTCCTCTTCGGATCCCCACAGCACTTCGCTCTGCTCCTCAAGTACCTCATCCATGTGGCCATCCCCGACATCCCAGGCTGGGTGGCCGAGGAGATGGCCAAGCTCGAGTATCAGCGCAGAGAGGCCTTCAAGGTAGGTAGGCTGGGAGGAGCTGCTTGCTAGGACTTGTCTGCTGGGCGGGGCGTCCCTGGCAATGGCTCTCTGGGGCCAAGTCCCTAGGAAGAGGGGAAACGTGCAGAGAGGTACAAAGCCTAGAACGATAGTCGGCTCTCAGTTCCCCTGGGTTCCGCACCCAAGGACGCCACCAGTGCGGACCCCCAGCGTTCTAAGACATCCCTCACATCTGGGCTGACCACACAGACTCCCACCCACCTCCTTCCTTGCTTGGTTTTTTTTTTAATATTTATTTTTTAGTTTTCGGCAGACACAACATCTTTGTTGGTATGTGGTGCTGAGGATCGAACCCGGGCCGCACGCATGCCAGGCGAGCGCGCTACCGCTTGAGCCACATCCCCAGCCCCTTGCTTGGTTTTTTTGAGATGGGGTCTCAAACTCCTGGGCTCCAGCGGTTCTCCCACCTCAGCTTCCCAAGTAACTGGGACTCCAGGCACCACCACTGTGCCCAGCTGAGACTTTCTGTCGTGATTCCCTAAGCAATGCAGTATACAGCGGTGGACAGTGCATCTACACGGGATTGCTTTTCTAAGTCACCTAGAGACGATTTAAAGTGGACAGGGGTTGTCCGTTGGTTCTATGCAAACATTGTGCCATTTTTCATTAAGGACTTGCCTGTCCACAGATTTGGCGTCAGCGGGGGTCCTGGAGCCAGTGCCCTGCAGATACTGAAGGATGACTATCACTAGGCCTGGGTCCCTTTCAGTATCTCCATGGCATCCCAAACCACCAGCCCCCTGAGAGCTTCCCGTCTGGGGCCAGGGACATGGTGGATGCTTCCTAGGAGAGGTCCAGCCTCTTCCATATTCCTCCAAAAGCTACAGAGGGGCCGAGGAGCTCCGTGGCATCTTCGATGCAGACCTTTCCTGGAAGGCGGGAATGTTCCAAATCTGTGCTGTCAAGTAGCCCCAAGCAACAGGTGGCACTTTGAAATGGGGCCGGGGGGAATGAGGAACTCATTTTATTTTATATTTTAAAAAAATCAAAACATATTTTTTTCTTTTCGTGCAGTGCTGGGATGGAACCCAGGTCCTTACACATACTGGGCAAGTGTACTGCCACTGAGCCGCTCCCCCACCCCTTGACGAATTATAATTAATTTAAAGTCACACTGCTCCAGTCCAGGCTTTCTTATTCTGCTGGTTCTCCAGAAAGCAGGGCCCAGTCCCAGTATTTTTTTACATTCTTCCAGTTCCTAAGACACTGTCTGGCTTGTGGCCAGGTACAGAGTTGGTGGCCAGTGAACATTTGTTTTCTTCTCAATTCCCAGAAAGCAACGGCTTGGGTCCAGGGATGCAGTTGGTGCCCAATAAACATTTGGATCCCTTCCCGCTTCCCCAGAGAGCCCCAGCTTGGGTCCAGGCATCCTGCTGGATCTCTCTCTAGTGGGGAGCCCCAGCCTCCACGGAGGGATTCAGCTGGCTGTTCCGCAGAGTCCGCGTGGCCGGGCCATCCCTGCCTTCCTGGCCCTTAGCTGTGTGCTTCTGCCCTCAGAGACACGAGCGCCAGGCCCAGCACCGCTACCAGCAGCAGCAGCGGCGGCGGCGGGAGGAGGAGGAGCGCCAGCGCCACGCAGAGCATCATGCCCGCAGGGAGCGTGACACCAGTGGCCGGGAGGAGGCCAGGGCTGAGGGCGCTGGGCTGGACCCCGCCGCCTCCGAGAAGACCTCTGCCAAAGCCAAGGGTGGCGGAGCGGGCAGCCATGGGCCTGAGCGGCCCAAGCGCCCGGGGTCCCTGCTGGCACCCAACAATGTCATGAAGCTGAAGCAGATCATCCCGCTACAGGGCAAGTTCCTGTCATCAGGGGCCACGTCCTCGCTGGCCGGCACAGGGACTGGCCCTGCCACTCGGCAGCCCTCTGCCCAGTCACCCACCGGCAGTGACACCCGCCTACCGGCCTTCCTCAGCTTCAAGTTCCTCAAGTCGCCCGAGACCCGAAGGGATCCGGAGCGCAGCCACTCGCCACCCAAGGCCTTCCACGCCGGCAAGCTCTTCCCTTTTGGCGGGACCCGGGCTGAGACCGGGTCCAACGGGGCGGGCGGGCAGGCCCGACAGGACGGGACCCCCAGCGGTGGCAGCAGCCGGGCCCAGAGGAGTGGGCCAGCGGACGAGGCCTCAGCTGAGGAGCTGGAAGCCCCCCGGCCCGAAGAGGAAGGCTCAGGTCACAAGCTTTAACTCGGGGGTGGGGACGCTGGGCCCGGCTTTGGGGGTAGGGGTGGGGTGACGAGGCCTAGGGAGAAGGGCTGAAGGGGACAGAGGAGGCCCCGTCTTTGGTACTGTTAGGGGACCTGGGTCAGTGGGACATGGAGCCTCTAAGTCAAGCCTGCTCAGTCTCTGGGACCCTGGAGAGCCTGGAGCCCTGTGCCTGACCCTCCTCACACCCAGGGAGGGACGCCAAAGCCCCCTGTCTAGTACCCCTCCCAGGGTACCCCCACCATGCTCTGGTGCCAGGAGAGGTGAGGGAGGCCCTTTACCTCCTGGCCCACCCTCTCCTGCTCCCATGCCCGGCTCACTCTGGGGGACTGGACCCCCCCAGACCTCTATGCAAATCCCCAGCCTGCAGCCCAGGGGTTCAGGAAGGACTTCTTTGGAGGTGGAGGCTGGGGCTGCCCACCCAGGGCACTGGGTTACAGGCTGCACCCACCTTAGTGCAGAGCCTTGGCACGGCCCCATCCCAGGACCCCTACCACTTTGCCTGCCCCAACCCTAGTCTGGGGGGTCCAGTAGCCTGATCCCCAGGTCGCCTGAGAGGTGGCAGCTGCAGTACAAGGGCATAGGTCAGAAGTCAGAGGGACTTCCTCAGACTCCCCTCCCTGTGCCTGGGAGAGGCCAGGGATGCAAAGTCGCCCAGGGGAGTTACCCACCCCCGTCTCTGATCTGAAGCAATAAGGCCTTTCACGTGCCTGGAAGCCGGGAGGGAGCGCGGGCAGGGTCGCCCACCCCGTGGGGTCTGGCGGGGGCGGCATGCCCCCGGAACGGCCCCTCTCGCCTCCGCAGGGACAGCGCTGGCCCT